ACCAATAGATTTTTAGTGGGGATCAAGTAATTTGCCCAAAGTTACACAGAAAACTAATGGCAGGGACTCAAACCTAGGCAGCGTGGCTTAAGTCTAAGATACTAACCACTACTCTATATTTTCTCACAAGATTATCTATGTAAATATATAAAATGAATTAGAAGGAAATATATTAATTTCTTGAACAGTTATGTTCTACTGCCTCTTAAACAGCTCCAAACTGTTTACACATTGCTGAAAATATGCCTCAATGAGTTGCAAAATTCAGTAAAGAAAATCTTAATCTCCATTAAACAAACAAACAAAAACCCTGCACCCCCCAAAACTCTCTACTTAACATACTTTCTTGTTTACCACAGCTCCTCTCTCTGCTGCCTCCCCCAATATGAACGTGAGTGTCTCCAGGGATGGGATTTCTGTTCGCTGTGCCTCCTGTGCACCTAGAGCATGGCACCATACTGTAGGCATTCAGAAAAGACTTGTTGAATGAGTTACTGTGTGAATGCATTCAATTGTGTGAAAGACAGCAGGGAAAAGACACAGGATTGAGAATGGGAAGACGGAAACTGCAATTATATCTGCAATGTTATTTCTTTAATATCCCAAAAGACTTAAAACAAATATAGCAAAATGTTAATTCTGAAATACTAGCTGGTAGATATGAATGATTCTTTTGGGTATTTTTCTGTATTTTACAACTTCTCAAAATGAAAAATGTATTCAAAGCAGCTAATATAATTTGTGTCCATCAGGGAAACAAAGATTAAGTGACTTACTTGAAGGTGGCGAGCAGCAAGCTGCTAAGGGGGCCTGAAATCCAATTTTCTAACTTTCTCTTGCCCCACAGAGGGCACTGCCTGTGCTGTACATCAAGTTATAGTTCACGTCTCATATTGGAATGCTATGTTCTTACCTGTATAATGCGGTGTAATATCGATCCGATATTGTCTGCTGAGAATTCATGACTTGGAAAAGCAACATTAAAGCCTGCACACTGGTATTAAAATTCACCATATGCAACACTTTAAACAGTGTGTCAATTTGCTCCCTCACTTTGTCATCACCAGTCTGGGAATAAGGGTACGCCCTATTAACACCTGTTAAAAGGGCGCTAAGCATTTTTGATTCAATATCTTTTTTTTTAATACAAGTCCGAAAAAAGCAAAAGTAAATAGTTATTAATTTGTTAGCCAGTTCACTTTCTTCATGGGACAGAGCCATTTGATTTAAAAAGCAAACTGCATAATATTGAGCTTTGGAGCTGATATTTGAGCGGAAGAGTAGCCTTTCTACTTCACCACACACAACTCCTTTCATATTGGGATGTTTACAAAGTAATGTCTCTAACAGATGGGAGGCTTTTGTGGCAATTCTGTTCTGAGGATCTCCCAGTTTATTTACCACTTGCACAAGAAGAGCCTTTTCTTCCTCAGGCTTGTTACAAAGCAGCTCATGAGCCACTGCAAGGGCTCGAGTTTTAGTGGTTACTAATGTATCATGACTTAAAGTTTCTAAGACCTGCACAAATTCAGCCACTAAGTGTTTCAGCTGGTGTTCAAAATACCATAATATCAGTCTTCTATCTCTTGAGTCCTTGTTGCCACTGGACAACTGTTCCAGTTTGTCAAAAGGATGCTGGCTGAAAATCCTCAGCTTCCGACTGTCTGGCAAAAGGTCTGTGATAAGCAACTCTTTGAAAGTATCCAAGGCCATGAGGCACTGCTGTTTGCTGCCCTTCTTTTTAACAAGGTTCACAAGAGTTTCTACAAACTGAAGTGTGTGAACGGCATCATCCTGAATAAGAAGAATCATGGCTGCCATCCTGTCACCTAGTGTCCCCGATGACACAATTGCCTTCATCCAGGTAGAAGAGGCTCCCTTTTGACTATTCGTCTTACTTTTGAATAAGTTGATTTCATGCTCATACAGCTTTTGAGCAAGGGTTTTGTAGTTAGATACAACATCCTGAGGCTGGGGTTTCAAAGAATATTCATTGCTATACTCCAGATCATACCATTTGCCTCCAGGCTTGAGTAACAAAGTCTGTCTCTCAAAAAATTCAAAGATGTTCTGTTTATCTTTCTTCACTTTCGGTGTGGTACTGCCGTTCTCATCAGAATGTGGTTCTGGCTTATTCTTATTTTTCACCTTATTAACTGATGTCCTTTGACTTTCTGCTGTATTTTTGTTATTTATTTTAGGTATTTTTACTTCTTTTTTGCTGGAATTTTCTTTTTTAGCTGGTTCATCTTCTTCAATTAAGCAAGCTTTTGTATACTTGGCCAAATTAAGATTTTGAATAAATGCTTCCAATTCACCTTGTTGAAGGTCATCAATTACTCCTTTTTTGCCTCCATCTATCACTTCCTCATTCTCATCCAAAGTAGCCAGCATAAGGTAATCTTGCTGCATTAAAAATATAAGTTAAAAATACATTACAAATGTGAAAAATAAAACCATAAAATAATAGGAAACACAACATAATTTTAAAAATAATTTCAGAATTGGAAAAATCCTTTCAAATTTGACATAAAACTCAGGGTCCACAAAGTAAAGGATAAGTAAATTTATCTTTCTCTCTCTTTCTTTTACACACACACACACACACACACACTTTTTACTTCGATATAGGAAAAAACACAAATTATAAACTGGAAAAAAAAATACAAGCAACTCCTATCAAAGTAATTGGGTTTAACACCTTAATATAAAACTTTCTACACATCAGTAAGTGACAACCCCAAACAAAAATGTGCAAACGATATGAACAGTTCATAGAAAAAAAGGTTCTTTAAAAATATGAAAAGATGCTCAACCTCACTGACATTTAGAGAAATCCACATTAAAACCACAATGATACATCCATCTTTTAATTTATCAGATGAGCAAAGATACATTGCAAGATGAGCAAGATACAATGACAGGTGATGCTGGGGAAGGGGTAGGGGAAACGGCACTTTCATACATGGTTGATGTGAGTGTAACCTGACACAACCTACATGGAGGACAATTTGTCAACTCCAATTACGACCATTGAATACAAGGCACACATCTGTTGACCCAGCAGCTTCATTTCTAAAAATTAACTAATTGATTGAGACATGGTCTCGCTCTGTTGTCCAGGCTGTAGTGCAGTGACTTGACCATGGTTGAACTGTAGCCTCAACCTCTCAGGCTGAAGTGATCCTCCAATCTCAGCCTGTGGCTGGGACTACACGCCCAGCTATTAAAAAAAAACCTTTTTTTTGAGATGAGGTCTCCTTACGTTGCCCAGGCTGGTCTCAAACTCCTGGATTCAAGGTATCCTCCCACCTCCGACTCCCAAAGTGCTGGGATTATGGGTGTGAGCCACTGTGCCTGGCTCATTTGTACAAATTTGGACTACATATACACTTAAAAAAGTGGGGAAAAATATTATGATTAAGGTTATTAACTGTAGTATTATTTAAAATAGTGAAAGACTGGCAATAATTTAAATATCCACAATAAGTGGCTGGTTAGATAAATTAAGACAGACAAAATGATTTATGCGGCCATATCAATAACACAGAACTTCATGCACTGATATAGAAGGATTTCTAAGAGAGAAAAGAAAGCAAAATATAGAGATAGGTGTATATATATGGTACTATTCATGTAAAAAATAATACACCCGTATTTCATACACATAAATATGTATATGCTTGAAAAGGTATATAGTATCCCTGAAAGATATAAACTACACTTGTAAAAATAATTGCTTCCTATCAGGGCAATTGTTACGGCTGAGATAAAAGTGGAAAAAATTGGACTTTTCACTACGTATCTTTAAAGTTTGTATCACGTGTATCATGTGTATATATTACCTATTCAAAACTTAAATATACACAAGCACAGAGCAAAACTGTGAATCTACTTATCTCTAACCAACTCCTCCACCCTGAAAGTCCAGTCTCCAAACAAAATAATATTAAAAACAAAGTTAATTTCTGTCCCTTATCTGCTTAAAATCTTCCAGTGGTTTTGCATCAAACTCAGAGCAAAAGCCTGCCCTCTTACCCCTTGGACCTCATTTCTTACCATTCTCCCCTTACCTCACTCTGCCTCTGCTACATTGGCATTTTGGCTGCTCATGGAATAGGTCAGGCACTCTTCTGCCTGTCTTTGCATTTTCTGTTCCAACCAGAAGGGCACATGGCTCACTCCTTCCTCTCCTTTAGGATTCTGCTCAAACATCTCCGTGATGTGTTTGTCGATCATCTCATTTAATACTAACGCGCTCCCACTCCTTATCGTCCTTCCGCACTACCCCGTGTCTGCTGTACTATGTATTTAAAAGTTTGTTTACTGTTTCTGTCCCTTAATTAGGATGTTCCAAAAAAGAGGGCTTCTGGGGCATACAGTGACACGTGCACGTACTCCATGAGAACAGAAATGAAAACTCCAATACCACTGGTGGTCAAAACACTCCTACCACAAGGTCGGGACCAAGAAAAGCTACTCTCCGACCTGATGGTGTGATGGTTATACCACGTCAATAAAATGAGAGGATCGCCTACATCCTAAGAAAGGCCAGAGAATACGACGTTCAACTGGAAACTTTTCTTTTGTAAACAGCCCTGGAAACCAGGGTGGGAAGCTCACAGAACACATGCTTCCGAGGCTGGGATCTGGGATCTGGGATCTGGGATCTGGGATCTGGGTCCTGGACGCCCGCGCTCTACGCAGCGCGGAAGCGGCGGGGCAGTCAGCCTAGCGACATTAGGGACTCCCCACGTCTGACCCCTTTTCCCGGAGCCCGCGGCAGTTACCTTGGTGCCTCCGAGCCGTAACACTTCCTCCAGGGAGAACCCATTCTCGGTTTCATTAGCATCATCCTCGTCCTCCTCGTCCGGATCTTCTACTGCCTCCTCGGGGCGCCAAGGCCGCTTGGCATGGAACTCCAAACGCTCCTTGGCTGCCGCCATGGCTAGCAGAGCATACGCTCTTGGAACTCAACGTATTTCCGCTCTGCCCGTGACGTAATTCCGGCCGGGGCGTGTCTTCTCCCGGAAATAGCCTAAGCCCCAGCTCCTCGCGGAGCGAACCGGCCTGCGAATTTCAGCATGACTGTTCTGGTGAGGTTAGGTGTGGGGCCGCTGAGTGCCGTGGCGCGTGCAGGTAAGCGTCAGTCCCCTCGAAGCCCTGTTGCCTTGGAAACCGCGTGGGGTGCCTTCCTCAGCTCTTCCGTTGAGGTACCGGGGAATTAAGGGCTCAGGGGCTCACTTCCACCTTGAAGGTGCCCTGGGGTGGAAACGGGTCCGGCGCAAACGCGATAGGGCTGCGTAGTCGTGGACATGTGCGTGCTGTCTTTGCGCCCCGGGGGCGTGCTAAGCACAGTAGCCCGAGGTCTGCGGTAGGGTGAGGTTAAGGGTTTACGAAGTTGCTTTGAAAACGCTTAGGCGGCTTGCGTTCGTGAATGTTAAGATTTATCACGGGGTCTGTTTAATTTGTGTTTTTCACAGCCATTCCTTCTATTTGGAGAGGGAAATACTTCAGCTCCGGGAATGAACCTGCAGAAAACAACCCGGTGACGCCGATGCTGCGGCATCTTATGTACAAAATAAAGTCTACTGGTCCCATCACTGTGGCCGAGTACATGAAGGAGGTGTTGACTAATCCAGCCAAGGTATGGTCGGGTAGCCCGAGGACTAGGCCCTCTCTAGCCGATTTGCGAGGTGCGAGCCAGGAGGGAGAAGCCCGAAGGTCCTCAGCCCAGGCAGTGGGGGTGCCTGCCAGGGGAAGAGCCATTTCTGAGGACCTGGGGACAGATAATCTGTCAATTGGGCAGGGCTGGCGGGAAGGATGACTTTCCTACTTGGCTGATGGTAGGTGGTGTGGATTATTGCTCTGGGAGAAGGAATGCAGGAGGAAGGATGGAGAGTTCAGGCTGGTATATGAATCTGAAGTGTTGTGGGACTCTTAGGTGGAAATCTCCAACAGGCAACTGGAAATAGGAATTACTGCCTGGAAAGTTGCCTGTGTTGGAGTGGCCTCAGCTGGCACTGGAGAGATGTGCTGGGGTTCCTCACATGTGCAGCTGAGAATGCAGTCTGGGTCTGCACTGTTCTAGGATTAGGCACAGTCGCAGCTTTCTGACCTACGTTTCCTTGTCTGTTCTATAGAGCCATTTGGTGAAAGCTGTAGTCCTTTACTTTAGAATATTTCACCTTTTGCTGGGTTGAAATATGACCTCTGTGGAATTCTGGGGTTGATTTGGCCATTGCTGTTGGATATGGTGGCGTGACTCCAGTGTCAAGGTTTACCCAAGGCCGGTATCTTTCTTTCAATGCTGGTGGGCAAGGCTGCAAGATATGTGGCTTAGACTAGTGTGGTGGTACTAGAAATAGAAGAGGGTGGTTTAGAAAAGGACTGACAGGATTTGCCGATGGATTGAGTGATGCAACGGAGGAATCAAGGCTGATTCTTAGTTTTGGCTTGAGCAGTTAGGTGGTGACAGCACCTTTTATTGAGATTAAGACAGACAGGACCAGGTTTGGAGGAGTGCTGGGGAGAGGGCCTACACCAGGAGCTGCATTTTATACATATTTTGTTAGCATTGACATCCAGGTGGAGATAGAAAGTAGGCAATTGGCTGTAAGAGTCTGGTGTTCAGGGCTGGACATGGTGGCTCACGCCTGTAATCCCAGCACCTTGGGAGGCCAAGGCGGGTGGATCACGAGGTCAGGAGTTTGAGACCAGCCTGACCAACATGGTGAAACCCCGTCTCTACTAAAAATACAAAAATTATTGGGTGTGGTGGCGGGTGCCTGTAATCCCAGCTAGTCAGGAGGCAGGAGAATCACTTGAACCCGAGAGGCAGAGGTTGCGGTGAGCCGAGATCGCGCCATTGCACTCCAGCCTGGGCAACAGAGTGAGACTCTGTCTCAAAAAAAGAAAGAAAAAAAGAACCTGGCGTTCAGAAGAAAGACTGGGCAGGCATATATATGTTTGCTCATCATCAGCATGTAGGTGATATTTAAAGCCAAGGAACCAGGGAGAATGTACTGAGAGAAAGGAAGGTTTCCCAGCATTGAGACTTGGGGTAACTCTAAAATTTAGAGGCTCTTAACCTAGGAACCCTTTAATAGAAATCAGGGGTTTCATGAACCTGCATGGAAAAAAATTACACCTTTATTTTCACTAACTTTCAACTGAAATTTAGCATTTCTTCAATTATGAACGTACGCGACAACCAGTAGCATCAGCAATACTTGTGAATTTGTCGTCTGTGGAAATCATTGGTATTTCCTTATCACAATACAGTGATCACAGGCATCTCAGAATTTCATCATGCTCATCCTTACTTCAAAATTTTGTTAATTATTGGGTCTTTGGCTTGATTATGGGCTTTTTTGTTTGTTTGCTTTTTGAGATAGAGTCTCATTCTGTCACCCAGGCTGGAGTGCAGTAGGGCGATCTTGGCTCACTGCAGCCTCCGCCTACCAGTTTCAAAGGATTCTTGTGCCTCAGCCTCCCGAGAAGCTGGGATTACAGGTGTATGCTTCTGTGCCCAGCTAGGTTTTTTGTATTTTCAGTGGAGATGGGGTTTTGCCTTGTCGGCCAGGCTGGTCTTGAACTCCTGGCCTCATGTGATCCACCTGTCTCGGCCTCCCAAAATGCTGGAATTACAGGTGTGAGCCACTGTGCCCGGCCTGATTATGTTTTTTTAAATACACTAGTAAAGAAGTGTATATATCACATTTTTGAAAACATTTGATACACATTTTTCAGATATTTCTTTGTGGTTCTGTGCATTTAAAAACACTCTGTGAAGGGGTCTGTGGGCTTCACTGGACTACCACAGTGGTTCATAACACAAAAAAGGGCAAATACCCCTATAATGTTTCTTTATGAATGGAACTAGAAAGCCTAGAAGGAGAGATGTTGTATGGAGTGAGAAATTTTGTTTGAAGATGGGAGTGAGTTGATTTATTTTGAATGCTGAAAGGGGAAAGTTGAAGGTGGAAGAGAGAGGGTGACGGCTAAATGGACCCAGGGGAGTTGTATGAGGAATGGCAATCCGGAGCACAGGAGGAGGGATTAGGTTTGGAGAAGGGGAGAAGGGGAAGGTGTTTCATTCTTGAGTCCCCAGAAACAAATGGGATTAGATGGAGGCCAAGGTGGGGTTGGGAAGCTGAGGCAGTTGTATTCTATAACATTTTTAAATTCTGCCGTGAGACTGGGGCCCATGTCGTCTGAAGTAAGGTGGTAGAATAGGAGCTTGAGAAGCATAGGAAATTTTTAACACAATTCTTGAGTGTTTCTTGAAGGTTAGGCATCATATTAAAACCTGGGATATGAAGATAGATAAGGCATGTTCTTCTGCAAACAACTAGACTTTGTGGTGAAGAACATAGACAAATAAGCTCAGAAACGGTGGCACTGGATTTGGTGTTAGGTTGGAGGGCTGGAGAAGGTCCGCTAGGTGGCATATGAGCAGATTCAGAGGATGAGTATAAGACTGCCAGGGAGAGATGAAAAGGGAGAAGGGTAAGGATTTGTAGTGGCATGGATATCTGGACAAGCAAGGCTAAAAAAAAAAAAAAAAACCAAAAACAAAAAAAAAACTCACCTTTTTCTGGAGATGCAATAGTCATACAGAAAAGTTCATAAATCACAAGTTTACAGCTCAGTGAATTTTCCCAAAGCAAATGCTCCCATGTAACCAGCACCCAGGTCAAGAAACGGATCATCACCAGCAGGCAGGGCCCATATGTGAGACGGAAAGTGTTAGAATTTGGAGAGGAGGCTGGAGGAGTAGGCAGGGTCTTGCTGTGTTGGCTGTGGGAGCTGGGAGGGGAGGAAGGGTCTGGCATGCAGAGATGGATGTTACATGACTTCTGCATTTATGGTCAAGTTGTAATTGGTTTTCTACCAGTTTTGTAAAATGACTGTTACTTTGTAGAATTTGGATGAAGACACCATGTTTCCCTTGCTTGTTTAGGGGAGAGCTTTCTTACTAAATAATTATTTCCCTTTTACATTATTTAAGATTTTGGAGGGGTATTTTATAAAGGCTTATTTGGAAATTAATTTTGTTTCTCCATTTTCTCTTTTTACTCAGGGTTACTATGTGTACCGTGACATGCTAGGCGAACAAGGAGATTTCATTACTTCACCTGAAATAAGTCAGATCTTTGGGGAGGTAATATCCAATGTAAAGTATGAATGAAGCTAATGTAAACATTTGAGAACAGATCAAATTATATTGTTCTGTAGTAGTGTTCTACAGCTTCTTTTGTGGTTCATCAAAAGTTTTAACTTTATAGTAGTTGATGTACTGAGGGAATAGAGAGGCAGTAGAGGGGAGGAAAATGGTAGAATATTTGAAAAGTTTATACTCCACTGTAGGAAGGAAAATGGAGAGATAAGAGGGACAAAGAGAAAGAGAAGGAAGGGAGGGGGTCATAAAGAGGACAGAAAAAGGAGAATCAGATGAAATAAGAGAATGGAAGAAGGAAGAGAGACAAAAGGAAAGGCGAGGAAAGAGGTAGAGTGCCCAGGAAGGAAGAGAGAAAAGATAAAAAAGAGCATTGAAGAATCAGTGGAATTAAGATAAGCTCTAAAGCTGCCAGTCATGATTTTAACCATAGTTACCGTAAAAGTCTTCCTTTGTTTATCAATTTTTTGAGCCAGAGTTTTGCTCTTATTGCCCAGGCTGGAGTGCAATGGTGCGATCTTGGCTCACTGCAACCTCCACTTCCCGGGTTCAAGCGATTCTCCTGCCTCAGCCTCCTGAGTAGCTGGGATTACAGGCATGTGCCACCACTCCTGGCTAATTTTGTATTTTTAGTAGAGACGGGGTTTCTCCATGTTGGTCAGGCTGGCCTCGAACTCCCGATCTCAGGTGATCCACCCGCCTTGTCCTCCTAAAGTGCTGGGATTACGGGCATGAGCCACCACACCTGGCCACATCTTCCTTTAATAAACAGAATTCTAGTTAATTTCCACTAAGTACTTTCTATGAATTTAGAAATAGGAAATAGTGTATAAGAGGAAGTAGAATGTGGGTATTGAAAAACATTAGGTTATTATCAGAGTCATGTAATTGTTTAAATCATATGAATATGAAGAAATGACATAATCACATTTCATCTGTTTATTTGCTTTCAAATAGTAATACTTTTCTGGTAGTGATACCCTGTTATCTATGTCATGGGACCTTTTATAGCAGAGGCTGCCTTTTTTTTTCCTGTTAATCTTCCTAAATGGTATATGTTATAGTACCAGGAAGTTGCTATGTGTACATATATGTATGTATTAAATAACATACATATGGCTGTACACATTTTGCTTTTTGGCATATAGTGCCTATTTATGTGGAATTTTATATTGTGGTATACTTTTATACTTTATGATACCTTAATATGTGTTTTTTTTGTTTTCCTTGTCACAGCTACTAGGGATATGGTTCATTAGTGAATGGATGGCCACTGGAAAAAGCACAGCTTTCCAGCTGGTGGAACTGGGCCCAGGGAGGGGAACCCTCGTGGGAGATATTTTGAGGGTAGGTAATAAAAGAATGTCTTTAAGTTTCATGTAAGTGAATTTTAGTACTTCTGAGTGTGCAAACCACATTGATTTCATTGGTTTTCAGTTCCTTAATCTCATATTTCTCAGCTAAAATATAATGTCAGAATAATGTAATCAGTCATTACTGTTGTCTGTAAGCTAAAAAAATGGAGGCGAGGGGGAGAAGAATATGAAAGCTAAAAATAGGAAACATTTAGAAGACATTATGGGAGAGTGTATTTGTTTTCTCAGGAAGCAAAGTTTTTAATTATGTAAAAAGTTTAGTCCAGGCGTGGTGGCTCATGCCTGTAATCCTAGCGCTTTGGGAGACCAAGGCGGGCAGATCAAGAGGTCAGGAGTTTGAGACCAGCCTGACCAACATGGTGAAACCCCGTCTCTACTAAAAATACAAAAATTAGCTATGCATGGTGGCGCACACCTGTAATCCAGCTACTCAGGAGGCTGAGGTGGGAGAATCGCTTGAACCTAGGAGGCAGAGGTTGCAGTGAGCCGAGATCGTGCCATTGCACTCCCGCCTGGCGACAGAGCGAGACTCTGTCTCAGAAAAAAAGAAAAAAAAAGTTTAGGATGGGCACAGTGGCTCATGCCTGTAATACTAGCACTTTGGGAGACCAAGGTGGGAGGATTGCTTGAGGCCAAGAGTTCAAGACCAACCTGGCCAACAAAGCCAAACCTCGTCTCTTTTTATATTAAAAAAAAAAAAAAAGCAGAAGATGTAAAGAAAAAGATTAATAATTTCATTTCTTACATTTAAATTAAGAACTTCTTGCTCTACAAATAAACTAGCAACTTTTTGTTCTTCAAAGACCCCATTAAGAGAGTGATTAGACGAACCACAGAGTGGGGGAAGTTATTTGTGACCTGTAACCAACAGAGAACTAGTAGTTAGAATATTTAAAGAACTCCCTTAAGTCAATAAGAAGACAGATAACTTGAGAAAAATCACACCAAAGATGTGAACAAGTCCATTCATAAAAGAGGAAAATACGACTAAAAAAAGCAAAACAAAAATATTACTCTTACTGGTAGTCAGGGAGATGAAAATTAAAATCACAACGAGATACCACTGTAACCCTCGCCAGATTAGAAAGAAAGCTAATAGTCTGTCAACACCAAGTATTGTGCAGATGCGGATATGTGGAGCAATGGGAACTGTCATATACTGCTTGTAAGAGTATAATTTAGTACATCCTTTTTTTATTTTGTTTGAGACGGAGCCTTGGTTTGTCTCTCAGGCTGGAGTGCAGTGGTACGATCTTGGCTCACTGCAACCTCAGCCTCCCAGGTTCAAGTGATTCTTGTGCCTCAGCCTCCTGAGTAGCTGGGATAATAGACGTGGACCACCACGCCCGGCTAATTTTTGTATTTTAGTAGAGAAGGGGTTTTACCATGCTGGCCCAGGCTGATCTTGAACTCTTGGCTTCAAGTGGCCTGCCTGCCTTGGCCTCCCAGAACGCTGGGATTACAGGTGTGAGCCACCGCACCCAGCCTTGTACAACCATTTCGAAAAGCTATTGGCCGTTATCTGTTAACGTCAAAGTTTCTGATACTGTATGACCCAGCAATTTTACTGCTAGTGATTTACCCTAGAGAAACTAGTGTATATGTGTACCAGGAGACACGTACAAGAAGATAGCAGCATTGAATAAAAGAGCAGAAAACTGAAACAGCACAAATGCCTATCAGGTGGGTAAATGAATCAATTAATTGTGGTACAGTCATACAGTGGAATACGAAGTATTGCAAGAATGTGTGAAATCACAGTGGAATATAACAATATTCAACATGAAACAAGATGTGTGAAAGTAGCAGTTTGCAAAAGAGTTCATATCATATGATTGTATTTCTATAAAATCCAAAAAATAGTCAACATTAAACAATATATATTTGGTGATAAAAATATGTTTAGCAACATTTATAAAGAAAAATCAGAGTATTATTAACTGAAGATTCAGAATGGTGGCGACTTCCGAGGGTATAGGGAGTCCACAGGGGCTTTAGAGAGAAGGTCATGTCCCATTTCTTTAACCAGATGGTGGCTGTTCTCTCCTGTATCATTCTTGCTATCAGTCTACGTACTATTTTATAAAACCATTAAAAAGGAGGACAGTTGTTTATAGTACCTGATAAGTAAGAGTGTTTATTAAACTTTTGTAGTTTCTAGTATTTCAGAACTCATTAGTCTTTTTGAGTGTATTTTTCATGTACCTGGCAATTCAATGTGAAAAACAAACATAGCTGGGTGCAGTGGCCCATGCCTGTAATCCCAGCACTTTGGGAGTCCAAGGCTCCCAAAGTTCACGATCAGCCTGGGTAACAAGGTGAAACTCCACCTCTACAAAAAGTACAAAAATTAGCCAGGCGTGGTAGCACGCGTCTGTGGTCGAAGCAAGTCGGGGGGCTGAGGTGGGAGGATTGCTCGAGCCCAGGATGAGGCTGCAGTGAGCTGTGATCATGCCTCTGAGTGACAAAGTGGGACCCTGTCTCAAAAAAAAAAAAAAAAAAAACAAGAAACACCAACACGTACTCAATATAAATTTAAATTTCTTGATGCTTTATGGTTTTTGCTTTAAATTAGAAATTGAAGGATTTAAAAAATATATAAACATATGACAAATGAGAATCTTGGTTATTTGGGTGAAGAAAGAAAACAAAATCATGAGTTTAAATGTCCAGGGCTCTATTTTATGTTTTTCAGCAAGGTCATTTGAATATCAAATATTTAATAAGGACCTCAAATCATATTTTCTTGTTCAAGTACTGTAAAAGTCAATTCCAGAGCCCTTAAAATGTATGAAGGATGCTTTTCCAGACTGAGTCATAAGAACTCCTAAAAAGCCAAAGAATTTAAAGGGTTGTAAAGCAAATAGCCAGAGAAGTATCAGACCTGTTTTATTTTCGATGTTACCTTCTGAAGGAATTTCACCTGTGATGTTTTTCCATTTGTATTTTGATCTCAGAACTAAATTTGGAAAAATCATCTTGTTCATATTATCAGTCTGGATGTGCATATTCATATCTCAAAAGTATTAATTGGAGGCAGATCACCGGTAAAAATTAAATTCAAATGAAAAATAATGTTGATACACTTTATGCTTTTACTATTGAATTTTTAGCCTTAAAAGATTGGTAAATTATTAGTATTTTCATTTTTCCCTTGATGTTTACAACAGTGAAAAAATATATAGCTAAATATAGATTGAAAATGTGGCAGACCCCTGAGTTAAGCAGTCGTTTTCAGTACCATTCAGATTTGGTTCTTTGAGGTTAGAGTTATCATCATCTCAAAGATGAGATTATTTCCTAGATCTAGAGACATTATCAAAGCAAGGCTATCCCCATTTTATTTCCTTGGTCTTTTTTTAGACTCCATAATCTGAATCGTTGTTTTTATCAGATGCCAAATCTTTTATTTTCATTTGTTAATCATAATTTATCAGATGCCAAGTCTTTTATTTTCATTTTAATCATAATTTATCATTAGGAAACCAAATTGTGCATTGTTCATTTCTTATTTAAATTATGCTTAATGACTAATAGGTTATGATTCTTATAGACTGCTGGAGAGTGGCTTGGGTAAGGAACACATCTCTCTGAAGTATTACTTCTATTGTGACATGACTAAATCATTGATGTAAATGATTAGGAAACTAAACCTACTTAACACATTGTGTTTTTTTTTCTTCTTTTGGTATTTAGGTGTTCACTCAACTTGGATCTGTGCTGAAAAACTGTGACATTTCAGTACATCTGGTAGAGGTAAGCCAAAAATTAAGTGAGATTCAAGCATTGACACTGACTGAAGAGAAGGTCCCGTTAGAGCGAAATGCTGGATCCCCAGTGTATATGAAAGGTGTCACTAAGTCTGGAATTCCAATTTCCTGGTACCGACATCTGCACGATGTTCCAAAAGGTAATTACTTTTACGTGGATTAATGAAAGAATTTTGATCACAACCCTTACAGTAGTGATGGGACTGTAACTTTTTACAGCAATAGAACAGATTATGAGTTACTGCTCCCAAGTCCCTTTTATCCATAGAGAGTAGCCTACTGTTTTCTAGAAAAGAGCATCATAATAGAAAATAAAGTTGCCTGACTTTAAGTAGTAGTTTATTTCCTGTAGTTTTGTAGAACCCAAACAAAATGTAAATCTCCGTTGTACTTTTGAGTATTTCCCTATAGCTAGGATAGTTCCGATGATGGAGCAGCCCGAGGCAGCTGGGGCTGATGGAAGCAGTGTTAGTAGGTGGGTTTAGTTCAGTTACCGAATCTTTTGAAAATCCTTACTTCCTAAAGACAAGCAAGGTGTGGGGGAAAATCCCTGTACTAGTCAGGAATACTGATGAATCTTGACTCAGAGCTAAAATGGGGGTACGATCTTGGGCAAGGCATCTCAAGCCGTTCCTGGCCTCAGCCTTCTCAGGCTGAGAAACCCGATTTTATGAAATCAAATTCCCTTCCAGCTAACAAATCTGACTTCTAATTTCCTTCAAGCCTAGTGATGGATAAAAGATTTAACTGCTATTTCAGGTATTTCCATTTTCTGACCCCATTTATTTGTAAAATAAGAGTAGTAGTAATTGTTCTTTTCCATGTTCTGCAGTGTAAGTTTTCCATGGAGAGGTGGAGAATTCTGTGGTAGTGATGATTACGGAGGAAGTAGGCATTTTCTTTTTTACAGTTAATGTTCAAAAGAATTAATTCCTGTAAAATGTGGAAACATTAATTCTTTTCCTCTTTTTAAATAGGATACAGCTTTTATCTTGCCCATGAATTTTTTGATGTTCTTCCTGTGCATAAATTTCAGGTATTGAGGGGGGAAAAAGTCATGTCTATAGTTGAATACAAAAGGCGTTGTGTTGCCAGTGTTTATGGTGTTTATTCAGTATACAAATTTTACTCGTTGAGGTTATTTTTAACTATTATTTGGAATTTTGGTACACATAAATAATTGGAAAGCAAAAATGAAATGTTAATGAGAATTTGTAGTTCTCCTGGGATAATTATTAAGAATTCTTAATTCTTCTGATTTGAAGAAGTAAGGGAATGAAAAATGGTAAGATGGTAACTGGGGCTGTGGTGCAATGAAGGATTTACTTAGCAAATATTTTTTTTTAAAGAGAGAGCATATTGCTATGTTGCCCAGGCTGGTCTTGAACTCCAGGGCTCAAGTGTTCATCCTGCCTCAGCATCCCAAGGAGCTGGGACTACAGGTGTGTGCCACTGCACCCAGCCAACCTTAGCACATTAAAAAAAATTATAGATTAATATTTTTGGGGCCAGGCATGCTGGCTTCCACCTGAATCTCAGCACTTTGGGAGGCCGAGGTGGGTGAATCGCTTGAGGTCAGGAATTCAAGGCCAGCCTGGCCAACATGACGAAGCCCTGTGTCTACTATAAACACAAAAATTATCTGGGCTTGGTGGCAGGTGCCTGTACTTCCCAGCTACTCGGGAGGCTGAGACATGAGAATCGCTTGAACCCAGGAGGCAGAGGTTGCAATGAGCTGAGATGCACCACTGCACTCCAGCCTGGGCGACAAAGCGAGACCTTGTCTCAAAAAAAATAAATAAAACTTTTCTTCATTCTTTGAGGAGATTTAAGATTCGGTGATACTGTATGTGTCCTGGTAATTTGTATGGAGAAGAGCAGCTCTCATGATTCTGTGGTAATGTGTTAGTGAAGCTTCTGCCTATTCCTCCTGAGTCTATTTCCGTTTTTTGGGTACTTTGCAAGCTGCTGATTTTATCTTCCACAGCCTCATCTCTGTTATTGTTTCTTTTGCATCGATCAGTCTACTCATTGTTCAAAGGCAATGAAGTCATGCATTTAAGTAATTTTAAATAGTCAGTGCCCTGTAAATGTTAGTTACTTATGGTAAGAGGAGAAAAAGCTATTTTTGGTAGAAGCAGTGTAGAGAACAAACTTGCACAAATTTGTTTTTATGTGTTATTTTGTGTTTAGAAAACAGCACAGGGATGGCGAGAAGTATTCATTGACATCGATCCACAGGTTTCTGATAAACTGAGGTTTGTTTTGGCACCTTCTGCCACCCCAGCAGAAGCCTTCATACAAGTAAGAATATGCTTTTTTAAGTTTCTTTTATTGCTCACAGAATCTTCAAAGTCTTATTTTCTGAGTCACTACTTTAGAGTTCCTTTACAGGAAGAGTTGCTAATAGCATAGGAGGTGCTTTTTATTGACAGTGAATGTGCAGAGGAGCTAGAGGCAGGAGCGTGGGTTAAAATCATTTCTTAAATCTGTGACCTTAATGTGATGTAGTAAGAGAAAGTTAGTAACCGCTTACTCAGCCAAGTCTCTTACTTTCACTGTTTACCTCAGTTTCATGTCAAATGGTAATGGTATTGTCCACAGGAAGAGTTTACATCTGTGAAAACACTGTAGTACAGACTATAGTAAATTAATTAACAATAACAGCTAACGTTTGTTGAGTACTTTGTGTTACTCTGTTTTTGCATTTAGTTCTCAAAGCCCTGTATTAGGTAGGTTCTATTATTATCTTTCTTTGGGCTAGAGCATGGTTTTTATCCCATGCTTCCATGCAGATCTCAATTTGATTCTGCCAGAATGGTAGAATTACTACTGCTTTCTGTTGATCTCAAGGAATCATCGCAAGAGCCTGTCTATCTTGGCTTGTTTAAAGGTACAAAAAATCCCTGTACTTCTCAGGAACATCCAGGCTTCAGATTGCTTCTTTTTTTTCAGTCCTTTTCCAGCTCAGAAGATGATTTTTAATTCCTGGACCTTAACTGAGAACTTCCTACTCAGAAATTATCAGTTTTAAAAGCACAAGAGCTTTTACACTTAAATGTATGAATTAAGTTTTCTTTGTTAAGTATAAATTTAAATGTCAGATGGAACACTTGTGAACAACTGTTTTTTCATATTATGGCAACCTACCTGGATGACACATTCATAAAACCACCAAGAACTAACCACCTGGTCCTGGGAGTTCATTAAGTTATTGACCTAATTAGTATTCACTTAGGAGGGAGGGAGTGAATTTTCCCTTTTGCTTGAATGAGATGAATGGTAATACATGTCACCTTGAAGAGTAGCCTAAGATAGTAAGAATGTCAGCATGATCAGCATGTCCACTGATGCCTGATGAGGCTGACTTCATGGTTTTTATAGTTAAGCCACAGTAATTTCATTGCACAATTAAGCTCAATGGTTTATTATATTTAATCCTCACAACAAACCTACAATATCTATCAGGAAGAAGGCAGCTCAAAAAGTTTAAGTAACTTGTTTACCAGTAAGCATAGGAAGAGCTGAGATTCAACTCCATCTGACTCTATGCCTGTTACCGTAGGCAGACATCAGGGCAGATCATTACTGCATTTCTATAATGTGTTAGGGAGGAGCACAAGTTAATGTATGTTTTCATAATAAAGGGAAAGAAATACCACATTTTCAGTCAGATCAGGAAGTAGTGAAATTTCATATATACTAGTCAGGTTGGCAAGTACTAATACTTAGTGTCATTTCGTTTTTTAAGCTAGTACACACTTATTGTGGCCCCTTAGTTAATAAGTGAACATCTTGGGGTAATAATGGTTTCAATACGTTGGCACTAGTTTATAAGCGATGTTTCTTGATGTAGGGCATATCATTGGGATACTTTCTGGCACAACAGAGGGCATGATAATATACTTGTCTAATAGGGTCTGCTTTGTGTTATTGGATTTATATGATTTGTTCTTTCAGCACCATATTTTCATTGACTATGTCCTAGGCAGACAAAAATTCCTTTCCCATGCTTTCAACCTAGAGGAATATATTTATATGATTTGTGATATAAAAGTATTTTACATTAAATAAAATGATAATGCTCTAGGCCATCTGGGGGGATTGGGAGGGCATTTGTCTTTTTGTAAAAGAGATTAAAATGTCTCTGTAAATCAAGTGGATAGCATCAAAGAACTAAGGAGTTTTGTATAATAAGGGAGTCAGGTGAAAAGTTGAGTGTAGAGAACACTCATATTAAGAAAATTTATTTTTATTAAAACTAAGAAATGCTCATTGAGGAAAAACCTGAAAAACCCTAAGGAAGTAAGTCTTTTGAATGATGCATTTTGACTTTTGTAATGATCCCTTTACCAGCATGATGAAACAAGGGATCATGTTGAAGTGTGTCCTGATGCTGGTGTTATCATTGAGGAACTTTCTCAACGCATTGCATTAACTGGAGGTGCTGCACTGGTTGCTGATTATGGTCATGATGGAACAAAGACAGATACCTTCAGAGTATGTATAATTCAGTAACATGATTTATTAGACTTTCAGTGTTAGATCTGAAGCTCATTGAAGAGCTTTGATTTCTACAGTGCCTGGTATTACTGTATTACATTATTTTATAGTTAACATTAATTGATATTATTGTAATTCCCCTTAACCCTAGTTCTTACTCCTAACACTGAGTCTACTGTCCAGCCCTCCTTTAACAGGATCTGAACTGTTTACGTTCTTCCTTAGTTGTAGAACCTACGTTTACAAATCCAAATAATACAAATTTGGAGAATAATACAAATGGAAAGATTTTCTTCACATTCTTAAACCTTTCTATCTGTACCCTCCTTTGTTCAAGAAAAATTTTGGTACTTCTTTGCAGATTTAAACTACCTACTGTAATCATTCTAGCTTTTTCTATTATATTTTCAGCATTTTTTCCCTTTCCAGATGTATTCTTTTACACTGTTCCTAAACATCCTTTCTTAATGATCTTTGAATATGATCAATTCTGTTCAATATACTTTAATTGAAAACCATTTAACTAAATGCTCTTAGTCATTTTCTAGGTCTGTGGTTCTTAATTTCTAACTTTATTGTGTCTAAAAATAACCTGGAGAGTTTGTTGAAAATACTCATTCTCTATCCTCACCTCCAGGATTCTGACTGACCAGGTCTGGTTAGAGTCAGTAATATATTCTCAGGTAATTTTGTTTTTTTTTTAAGTAATTTCAACTTTTATTTTAGATTTAGGGGGTACATGAGGCAGGTTTGTTGTTACATGGGTATATGGCATTGACTCTGAGGTTTGGGGTACAAGTGAGCCTGTCGCCCAGGTGGCAAGCATAGTACTCAGTAGGTAGATTTTCAGCCCTTGTTCCCCTCCTATCGCCCCTCTAGTAGCCAGCAGGGTTTGTTCCCATCGGTATGTTCACGTGTACCCAATGTTTAGCTCTTACTGAGAGAAGTGAGATGTACGTGTGGTATTTGGTTTTGTCCCTGCATTAATTCACTTAGGATAATGGCCTCCAGCTATGTCTATGTTGCTGAAAAGGACATGATCTGATTTTTAATGGCTGTGTAGTAGTTTGTGGTGTATCTCAGGTGATTCTGACGCATGGTTGATGCATGTACTTCGTAAAACACTGCCTAGGTGTTCCCTGCCTAAGAGAATTAATGAAAGCTCTATTCCATCACCTCAAGCATTAATGTAAATATTAAATAACTTTAATATGATAGCATCTCTTTAATCTTAATAACCATAAAAGGGCAAAAATCTGATTTCTTTATGTTCAAGGGGTTTTGTGGCCACAAGCTTCATGATGTCTTAATTGCCCCAGGAACAGCAGATCTAACAGCTGATGTGGACTTCAGTTATTTACGAAGAATGGCACAGGGAAAAGTAGCCTCTCTGGGCCCAATAAAACAACACACATTTTTAAAAAATATGGGTATTGATGTCCGGCTGAAGGTAAGGTTTATTTTATTTCACTGTTATTAAGTACTTTAATTTTATAGTATTGCAAAAATTAAATAGTATGTTCACCTGGCCTTAATGCTCTTACAGTTAGCCAATCCTTGGTATTCCAGCCTTTTCAGGTAGTATAGGATTTAGTAACTAGTCTGGTAAGTTTCATGCATCTCCATGTGAGGTAGCATTAAGACTTCCAAATAGTGTTTTTGTTAAGAAAACTGCGTTTATGGGTATGAATTTTCTAACTGTTCTTCCGAGGACACCTAAACCTTACTGTAGATCAAACCCCCGGGATATTTGTTAAAAATGCAAATCCTTATGTTTCACACCAACCTACGTTTTTAATAAGTACGCTATGATTCTCAGGCAGGTAATCAGAAGTCACGTTTTGAGCGGTGCTTTATTGGAATATTTGAGAGTCATTAGTATTGCTGCATGTAACTAGGAATTCTGTCTTCTGGTTAATTTTGCTAAGAATTTTTTTCCTTTCAGGTTCTTTTAGATAAATCAAATGAGCCATCAGTGAGGCAGCAGTTACTTCAAGGATATGATATGTTAATGAATCCAAAGAAGATGGGAGAGAGATTTAACTTTTTTGCCTTGCTACCTCATGAGAGACTTCAAGGTGGAAGACATCAGAGGAATGCACGTCAGTCAAAACCCTTTGCATCCCTTGTAGCTGGGTTTAGTGAACTTGCTTGGCAGTGATATTTCAGCTTGGACATTTTCCCCTTCAGTCGGCCCAAGAAATCAAAATAAAGGAAACACATTTCATACACTGCAGGTAACAAAAGTGAAAGTATTTTATCTTTTCACAGCAAGAACAGTCCATGTTATATATAATACAACCAAAATTATAGAACTTTTAGGGTTGTGACTGGCTTTGGTGCAAATGTCTGCTCAAGCTAGTAAGTTATTGTGAGACTGAGTTTCCTTTAACTTATAAAGCTAGTTGCCATATTTCTATTTTATTTTAAAAAGTAAACATAGGGCCGGGCGCAGTGGCTCATGCCTATAATCCCAGGACTTTGGGAGGCTGAGGTGGGCAGATCACCTGAGGTCAGCAGTTCGAGACCAGCCTGACCAAAATGGAGACACCCTGTCTCTACTAAAAATACAAAACTAGCCGGGCATGGTGGTACATGCTTGTAATCCCAGTTTACTCAGGGAGGCTGAGGCAGAAGAATCACTTGAACCTGGGAGGTGGAGGTTGTGGTGCGCTGAGATCGTGCCACTGCACTCCAGCCTGAGCAACAACAGCGAAACTCCCTCTCAATAAAAAAAAAAAAAAAAGTAAACATGGGCAGTGATTGGTTTAATAAAAACTGGAAACAGACTAAATGGCTATTCACAGGAAACTGATAAAATATATGTTATTTTTAAAAATGAGCTAGAGCAGTATGTTCTGACATAGAAAACTCTCTAAGATTTAGTAAGTGAAAAAAAGTAGGATGCAAGAGTTTTTATAGTTGATTCCATTTTTGTTGAAGGAGAAAAGCTATTTAAATACAAGTAAATTTCATAGAAACTAATAGACTAGTGTACACTGGTTTTCTGTGATATATACTTGCATACAAAGTTAAGGAATGAATGCACAATTTTCCCAATTTGGAAGTGAGTTTGAGAGGCAGGGAGTGGTTGGGTATTTAAATTTTTTACATTGTGCATCTGTGAATTTTTAAAAAAATTATAAAGGTCACATTAAGAAACAGTAAACCTTGACATGTAGTTCAAATATGAGTTGGAGACCAGCCTGGCCAACATGGTGAAACCCCGTCTCTACTAAAAATACAAAAATTAGCCTGACGTGGTGGTGGGCGCCTGTAATCCCAGCTATTCAGGAGGCTAAGGCAGGACAATCTCTTGAACCCGGGAGGCAGAGGTTGCAGTGAGCCGAGATTGCTCTGTTGCACTCTAGCCTGGGCAATAGAAAGAAACACACACACACACTCTCTGCCTAGGAGGAATAATTTTCAGACAAATGGCAAGTTTTAGTTCTGTATTATGTGTTTTCATTTTTTGGTTTTTAGAAGCTGTGTGTTAATACTGGAAACATAGACTTAGAGAATTATTAGCAACACAGATTTACAAGGGAGATTATTAAATTAGCAACACAGATTTACAATGGAGATTAAAGAATACTTGCCATATGTCTTGAATTTACGGCTTAACTGTATCAGAAGTTCATTGGCGGAGTGATGAACTGTTGCTTTTTATTGCTGCTTCTGCTTAACAGGAGTAGCATTCTATCCACACTACATGGCTATGTCATGGAGGCTTTGAATGTGGCCCAACACAAATTTGTAAGCTTTCTTAAAACATGAGATTTTGTTTGGCAATTTTTTTTTTCAAGCTCATTAGCTATCATTAGTGTTGGTGTATTTTATGTTTGGTGCAAGACAGTTCTTCCAATGTGGCTAGATTAGACACCCCTGCACTAAAATAAAGGAAGACGGAGGGCTTGCTTTTCAGATGCTGCCCAGCCTTGGGTCACTCCTAGTTGTTCTTATTCTATATTCCTGTATTTGTTTTCTTTTTTCAAAGACTTGGTTGGGAGAATTTTTAAAAGATGAAAACGTCCATAGTTTGCTCCTCTCAGAGATGTTAAAGTTTTTATAATTAAGGGGCTAGAGTCAGGCAATGCCTTATATCTTAACACCTAGAAAGTTGGATATTAGGTTTTTAACTTTTTAAAGCCTTTGGTAGTATAACAGTTGGATATTTTGGTGGTAGTTCCTGAAAAAGTTATAGTTACAGTTACTCCAAACTTTACAAGAAATGAGACCTTCAGATAATCACCTCAAATTTAGTATAAAATTATAAAATGAGCTTTTTTTTTTATTTTTGGCAGGTTAAAAAAAAATCAGTGTTTTTAAATATAGCATTAGTTCCATTTACAAATACTGTTTCCAAAATAGTTCTTTTACCAAGGTCTAGTAAAATAACACAACCAGATAAAACTTTTCTTTGGATACTTCTACTAGAAATAGGCTCAGGTTTTCACATGGAAAAGTATGGTGATAGGAAATACATTTTATTATCAAGCTTCCAGTATATTTACAAAAAGTTGGATGTAACCAAAAAAATATAAAAATGTACTGAACAGTCACTATAGACTACTTTGTACATTATCAAATGTTTCTAGCAATTACTTCTTACACAAACACGACCTAAGGACAGAACGTTATGCAGGTTATACAGTATCCGGAGTAATTTTATTCACCTCCAGATTCTCTGACGGTGCCTGTACAAAATTTTCAGAAAATTTCTTAGGCATTTAACAACAAATACGAAGAGTGCAATTAATTTCATGGCTTGTAAAGTTTCATTATGTAAGTATAGCAAACATCATTCCAGTTAATTTTCACCTTACGTAGTAAAACCACAGTAGAGTGACTGCCTAGCGACTCAGAATTATTCCATTTTGTGTGTGTTGATATAAACAGACTGGTGAAACTGGGAAGTCATCCTCTAATCACAGGGAAAATAACATTTCTAAAAATTTTTTTTTTTGAAAATTAATTTGGTTTAATCTTTGAAGCTTCTATAGGACAAATGACCAAGAGGGAAATGTGTCCTGGAGGTATTTATGGGTAGAGAATGTAGCATAATGGTTGGGAGGGCTAAGGGTAAGATTAGAGCCATACTACTGGTCTCAAATACATATACTAACTTTGAAATTTGGCAGTAGGTTAATCTCCCCTTGCCTCAGTTTTCTTTAAGATGGAGCTCATAATGACTTAACACTATGGCAGTTGTGAGGGTAAACTAAAATATAAAATAACTTAGAACACAGGAGCACTGCATACTGTTTGCTACGATTCTTTCAAGGGTATTTTTAGTCTAGATAGGAAACTAGCTTCAGGGATCTCGAAAGGCTGCTTCTCAGTCTGTTCATATACAAGAACACTTTTTTTTGCTACCTCAAATTCGGTGGGCAATGATAGTTAACACTTTCCTAGTTTTCAGTTTATTTGACTACATTCATATGTATCTGATCTTCACGACAACACTGTGACAAAGGTAGAGGCAAGAATGATAATATTCATTTCACAGACTGAGGAACTGCAGACAGACCTGCCATGTGCCCAGGCCAACATAACTAACAAGTAGTGGATCCAAGACTTGAGAAAGAGTTTTGCTCTTACTCTTGTTAGAGTGGAGAAGGAAAATAATAATAATAAAAAAAAGGTTTACAATGATTATTGAGAAGCCACTGTTTCTTAGAAGTAGATGGTCCCACATCTTAAACTCTCTTTGGGGAAGACATTTAAAAATAGTTTTTAAATACCTGGCTGCTGGAGCTGAAATGTAAAAAGAAGTCTTCATTCTTTAATTTGCTGCGTTGATAATATAGCCCCAGCCTTATAAACTGTTTCATGCTCCACTCCTATCCATCCCCCCAAACTGCTTAAAATAATTGATTTTAAAACAGATATCTGCAAAGCCCAGTAAGTTGGGGGAAGGAGAAAAAAGGATACCGTTTGCTATACAGTAACTGTAGTATTAACTGACCCTGCTAAAAAGCAGAAATTACTGGCTGAACCCTAGGTAAAGATAAATTGTGTAGAGCTGAGATCTGCACCTGCTGAATGCTGGAATCCAGCACTTGCATCCGGATGGTGTCAGAATACATATTTAGCAGCACAGTGGAGCTATGAAAAGACGTACAACTCAGCACTTAGACCAGCAGTACTCTTCCTTTTGTAACATCATTAGTCCCTAATTATCTTAGAAGCTGTTGCAACATACAGAAGGTGACAATCCTTATGTTGTACAGAACATATTCAGAGTAGCAGAGCAACTCCAAAAAGGTTAGGAATCACTACTTTGGAGTCTTGATTGACCTAAAAAAGAAAGGTGAAACAGCCTAGTACTCTTTTTCTAAGCATCTAAGAAAAACCCTTCAATGCCTCTATGGTTGGTTAAACCAATGTTAAAAGTCCTTATAGTAACATCACATAATGGTAGCCTCACAGTTCTCCCTTAAATACAAGCCTGTTGAGTAACCAATTTTGTAAGTCTTGTATAAATTAGCCAAGCTATATAGTAACTGGATGCTAGCTTGACTTGTTTTTGCTTAAAACAAAACATATACATATATATATATAAAAAAAAAACAGGAAAGGAAAGACAAATTAAGTGGTCCTATTGTATTAAAGTGAAGGATTAAGAAAAAATGCAAAACCAGTTATTGCTTAGGCTAAAAAAGTTTATAAAAAGCTTCACCTTGATTCAATTATGACTTCTTATTATTCAGTTTCCTGCCTGTACCTACTCATTATGAACTACAGTACTGGTGTCACTGATTCCTTATCATATTTCCTCATATCTTTGCATCCCTGCAGATGACAACCTACAAAGAACAAGTTACATAGCAAAATATCAGTCCATAAAATGAAATCCTTCCTTATTTAGGTTAGTTCAACGATTAAGGATCTTCTTCCATATCATCTGGATTAGGAGCCATAATGAAGTGCTTTGGGTATACAAGGTTATGTGTGTATGCATGTATTTCCCAGCGAGCGTCATCACTTTCATGTGTAATGTAACGTTCTCCAATGCGAGTTTCAAATTCTCTAAGGTCAAGCCAGGTCTGATAGTCCTAGGAGAAAATGAAATTGTAATGATGAAACATAAAAGAAACAAGACACTGTCAACCTGGTTTTTTTGTTTTGTTTTGGTTTAGTGCCCTAGTCAAATAATTGACAGGCCCTACTCATAAGTATCTACTATATACTAAGTTCTACTTGTGATATTTTAAATGAGCAATTTAAAGAAATTTTTC